TAGACATCTTTTAGGGAGGAATAAGATGCCCAAAACAGGACTACCAGCACATTCTCATGGAATGTTCTTTTATCTTCCCCCTTAGTATCATTTAATATTATGATTAACCTTCCCCTTCCAAGATTTTAAGTACAGCGTTCTGACAAAAAGCTCTCTATTTAAGGAAATGTTAATCGGYTAAAAGAAACAAAGCCAATTAGTTACATGCCGTTAGTTTTGTTCCCTATGCGACATATTTTCTTGATGTCCACAGAAGTAGCTTATTAATTAGAATTAAATTGAACAAATGGCACCCTCACTTCTTCACTTGGTAGCATGTGATCCTTCTATGGTTCTGTTTTAGATGATTCTCTGTTAGCCAATCCAGTTACCTCCAACCTGAGTTGCCTTCTTAACCTTTAAGAATTTCTCATCAATTTTATTCTTCCATGGATATTACTAGTATTTTTCAATGGATCTTCCCTGTTAATATCTAGCTGTGCTTCATATATTGTCCTAAAGGGAAGATTCTGTCCTCAGTAGAGTATTTTGTTCAGGATGGCCAAAGACATGTTCTTGGTTGGTTTTTCTCTTCTAAAGGTAATAGCTGTAAATGCATATTCAGGTCACCACCTTGTCTTGAGAGCCTAGCAACTTGAAACATGATATGGTGCCAAAATATTACAACCATTTTGTGCAAAAGGTACTGTGCATTGATTTTATTTTAAAAAACAATTTAAAAATCATTTGGCATCCTGTGCTCCACTTGAGTTGTATGGAAAATAATGATCTGCTATATTCCTGGAGCTACTGTCTTTTCTGTGAATGCATCCGGAGAATGCAAGCACCTTTGAGCGCAGTAGASACAGTCTAGAATGTCAGCCATGCCTGTGTTCTGACTCATATGCATGTTTACCATGTTTAGAAAATAGACTTTCTGGGTTGAAAAGTAATTTGATCTCTGCAATGTCTGGCGTTAGTTTAATAAAAGATACTTTCCACTTGTCAAAATTGGCTTGAGCAGATATGCATTTTGCAAAAGCACAGTTTTGGCAACTTTAAGTGGGGTACAGAGGCAGTTAACTACAACAGCCCTAGTGGGAGCAGAGGCAGTAACAATAGGAATGGTGGGGAGTCCAGGCAGTTAGCTCTAACAACAATGGAATGAAATAATACCTGTAATCATCATCATCATCATCATCATCATCATCATCATCATCATCATCTAATACTCTTCTCCTCATCTTTATATTCTTGATACTTCCCCGCCCCCCTCACCCGCCCCCCTCCCACCCCCAGCCCTTGACCAATTATAGCATTGATGGTTGTATCTCCTGGAATAAAAATGGGGATTTTCATTATTCAGGTCTGAGSCTGTCCTGTTTTGTGACTTTTTAGTAGATATCTTTATCTTATCCTTTACTTGGATCTTTACCCCCCTTTCCCTTTTTCAGAATGAGATTTAAATTTGGACATTATCCATGACAAAAGAAGGCAGAGGCTTCCTCTAGCTCCTTTAATGACAAGAAATGGAAGGGGAAGTGGGTGCTCTGCATTTTTATACCCTTCAGAGTAAAGATTTCACTGTCCTGGAGCATTTGTTGGTATTATTAAGTTTAGCTCTCTGTCTCACATCTTTCCTTTGGCTGGCTGCCTGGCATTGACAGCGTAGGTCTGTGAAAGTGACCAGGCAAAATGATTATTTATGCAACACACATGCRCACTGAAAAGATTTTACTATATTATCTAGAATCTTACTTTGAATCATAAAATGATGACATCTTTTCTGTGGTTTTATATTTAGTGGGYAAATGCAGAGAAATGAATAGCAGATCCCATAAGAAAGCCATAGTTTTCTTGTCTGTGAAGGCCATTGTCTTTCATATTAAAAAAAAACAACAACAACAACAACAAAACCCAAAACCTCTGTGGACAAGCACTACCCGAACTGCCCTTCTTTCTTGTTTCTTGAAAGGATTCTTGTCAAGATTTTTTTTTTTTTTTTTGTAAGAATACAAAGTCAACACCTTGGCTGCAGTGGTAGTTAGAAGGATTTAGAAAAATAGTCTCAGATCCTGAAACAGATGCTAATTTGTTATTTTAATAAGTTTTCCACAGTTAAATAGGTTAATTCCATTATTTGACTTGGTCTTCAGAAGTAAAATCCTTATAGTAGCACTCAGTGGTTATGTCTTTGGCAGTTTTTATTTTTGCCTGTATTTGCCCTAAAACTTCCATATATGATCAGAAAATGAATAAATGAAAAACAAACCTGGAAAACACTGGACTGTTATAGCCATCCTTGAATGTATGCAAATTTGTCTTTCCATTTTATTTAGAAGGAAGTTTTCTGTATTTAATACAAATTTTACCTCTTATGTGTCCTCACCTACTAGTTTTTTCCAGATGAAATTCCTTATATAGGCCCTTTTATGGCAGTTGGACAAAAAAAGCACTTGGCCATTGCTTTCTTTGCAGATTATAAGAATCTCCAACTTGTCTTCATTCTTTGGGATGAAAAGTGATACAGTGACCCTTAAAACAACAACAACAACAACAAAAACAACAAACTCAGTATAGGGAAAATGGCACCCTACCTCTAGGTTTATTTCATGTCATATGACAACTGTTGATTCCCTTCAAGCATTGTTGTAAGAAATTTCAAAACAGACCTTACATGGGAAGCTGGGTTGTTAACATGGATTTTCATTCATTGACAGTTTTTAGAATATGGATAAGAGAAAGTACCTGAAATTGACAGTATTGTAAAGTTTAATGTGGCAATTCAATGTACTTTGTTTTTCCAGGGAGATTTCTAGAAATTTTAATTGTGAAATTATAATTTCTCTATAAGGTATTGACAAGGGGGTGGTTATTATCAATTTGCATTGTTTTAACAGCAGAAGGAGAAATTTAAAACCTTGTAATGTCTTTGTTTCCAAAGTGATATCAGCATACAGTATTTTTTATTCCATTCACTGTGTTACTGAATTTCAAATAATTTTAAGTACTTCCCACAGCTTCTAGTTTGTAGTGCTACTCAGAGATGCTGCAGGACATGTTATTTTAGCAGCCTGTTAGAGCCCTTTTTTTGTTCCTAATCTTTCTGAACACAAACAGGCCCCAGGCCCCTGTGTTTCCACCAACTAGTTGCTGATGAGGTGGAGGCTCTTTTCCTGGAACCACAGTTTGCAAAGATGTCTCTCTCCTCTCACTTCTAAATTTGCCCATTTATGAAAATCTTATATTAAACTATAAAACCTTAAAACTGTAAGGGATTTTTTGCAAATAACTTATGTTTACAGTGAAGAAACAGTAAAGTTCATTTTTTWAAAATCTCCTATATTATCCATCTCTATCTCTCTAAAACCATAAAACAATAATTGATTTGAGATGGGAATCTAGTTTTCCTGAATGCAGGGAAAACACACCAGCAGTCAGGTACTCCCTCAAGGCAGCAAGAGCATGAAAACCTGAATTGAAGTAGAGAAAACAGTGATGAGGGTGAGCAGGAATGGACATTGGTTTTTTTTTTTTTTTTCTATTAAAATCTTAAGGATTGTTTTCAAAATGCATGTTAGCTGTAGTTGCTAAAAACCACTTTTCATTCATATATAACTAAACAACAGAAAAAAAACCTTGAATAGGGATCACAAATGCAAAATAAGTGAAATATTCTTAACTTAAAAAAATGCCAATTATAGTATCAGTATAAAAAGTCAAGGATGTAAGAAAGGTATAAAGGAGTAGGAAAAACATTAAAATACCACCTTGCAAAACACCATCATGATTTTAGTAAGCTTTGTCCAGTTTCATGTGTCCATTTTTATTTTCAGATAGCCTYTGACATAATTCCATAGGTTTTTGTAGCTTACCATTGAATCATAAGTATTTATCATGATATRTGATAAAAATTTTATAAGTTATCAATTGTGTAGCATTCCATCATTGTGCCATGGTTCATCTCAACACCAGTTTCTATACTGATATTTATGTTACCTATAATCTTTTACTAAACAAATGGCATGATGAATAGCTTTGTGTATAAACACTCATCTACATTTCATATCATTGTTTGATGATATATTTCTGAATTTTGAAATATGAGATGTAAAATAAGTTTTTAAGGAAAGGGAAGTGAATGTTAAGAATATTTAAGAACTTTCAAACCTTMCAAGTTCTAGCCTTTAAGCTTTAGTGGGTAGTCTTTATCTTTCTTTAAATATATCCTTTTTGGCTGGGTATGGTAGCACATGCCTCTAATCCCAGCTACTTGGAGGCTAAGGCAGGAGGATTCCAAGTTTAAGGCCAACTTCAGTAACTTATTCAGACCCTGACTCAATAACAACAAAGTAAGGGCCTGGGTTTCATGCACAGTACTATACAAAAACAAAATACTTTTTTTTTTTTTTTTTTTTGCTGTGAATTTAATGGCTTCTTGGTTCTTTTTTTTTTTGGATTTAAGTAAGGCAGCCCACAATATCTGGGTTAGAAAGTCACTCTCCCTCCCTCACCTTATTTCTTTCTTGCCATACCTTCTAATTCAGGGCTACTTTTTTTTGTCATCTCTTTAAAATTCCCTAGAATTTCTTTCAAATGTCACTAATTTTAATAGCTCAGCAGTGGTAATGCTGCTTTCTGGCAGGGTCCTGATAGTGGCATCAAAGAAAAGAGCTAAAATTTTACTCACTTTGATTGATGAGCTCATTTTGTTACAGAGGACAAATTGGATTTTTTTTATACTAGTAATAAAAATTAATGTGTGATGTTGCTTTTCGGAAGTTATTGGATCTCTGCTTTAATATAGATTTCAGCAATAAAAAGCATAACAGATAACTTGACCAGGAAGCTACCTCCCCTATAAACTACCCTGAGAAGTAAAAGGTACTTTTCTAATTTCGTAATCCTGGTATACCTATGTATGTGTGAGGTTWAGGGTTATGGGGGAGTAGTTGCAAAGGGATATTGGTCTGTATTTCAATTTTCCATTTAATTGTGATGTTTATTTCTTTTTATTTCAGCACCTCCAAGGTTTACACGAACGCCGGTTGATCAGACRGGGGTCTCTGGCGGAGTTGCATCTTTCATTTGCCAAGCTACAGGAGACCCAAGACCTAAAATTGTCTGGAACAAAAAAGGAAAGAAAGTCAGCAATCAGAGATTTGAGGTATTAGGTCCATTGTTCTGTTTCTCTGGGGGAAGAATGTTATCTGCTCTGTCTTGGGTTTATATGTTACCTGTTTGCTTTGCTCTGATAAGATATTGTAGTCTCTGAGGTGTGACATTCATAATGTTGTGTGTGATAATGTAACTCTAAAGGGCTTTTTGAAAAGGAGAATTTGGGGGTTGAAGTGGCTGCCTTTTGTCTTTGCTTGTGCAAGGACTTAAATTGCGTTCCTGGGATGCATTTGTCACCTCCAACCTCAGTCTGCTTCCTCTTAAGGTTGGTCCTTACATGACCAAGTTTAGAGGATATATGAAAACTTGACTCTTCTGAAACTTCCTGTCTCATTGGCCTTTTTGAGTTACTTGTTTATTCTTGAACCAATCTGTGTGGGCAGGTGAATAGAGTAGGCTAATTAATTAAAACCAGCAGAATCTACAGGAATGGAGTCAGTTCCATCCAGTCTCATGGTTTACAACTCTGGAGAGGATGGTGTTTTCCTGGATTGGGATTTGAGTTTCAGTTCTTAAAAAGAAGGGGAATAGACTTGAACAGGAAAATAGCATGAACCTAAATGAGACATTTTTTTACAATATCTTAGTGTAAATTACTCCCCTGTAAGAAACATACTCAAACAGGTTGAAATTGCAGGTAAACCTAGAGAACAAATAGATTTTCTTTATTCAGTAACACCCAGTGCATCCAAGATGGTGAAACACCATTTCTGTATTAYTCTTTGAGTATTGTGAGGGGTCTTAAGTTTTTGAAATTTGCTCATTCTGAAGAAGAAAAATAGTTAAGTTACTCAGAAAAAGAATGGAGGAAGAAGCACACAATGTCACAGCTGCAATTTCGGACAYGGAGAGGATAGCTTGAACTTTTTTTGTTTTGTTTTGTTTTTTAAGGTGGTATAGAGACCCCCAACATGCTTCCTTTTTTAACCTAAGATTTTAATCTAGGTTCAATTTTTAATTTGGCAGATTAAAAATGCATTCTAGTTAAAAGAAATATAGCACTACAAAATCCAGAACAATTTGATTGTGCTCATTTTTATAGAGTGTCAGTGATATATGGTTTGTATGTATAAARTACCTATTAATCACAGTGATGAAATTTGAAATATAACAAATGATGTGGTGGTTTAAACATGAAACGAATACCTTAGTCTTCAGGTTATTTCTTTCAGCATGTAGAGTGTGTGTATGTGTGCGTGTGCGCGYGTATCCACGTGTGTGCATGCACACAAACACACATACACACATATCCTTGGTACACTTTTTTTTTTTTAGTTTAAATGAAGTTAATTTTCTTGACCAAGATTCTAATAACTATGCTGTTTSTTCCCTAAGATGCATAGTAGATTTATTTTAAAATGTGTGCTTAATAGGGGTGAAAATAAATTGTGGTGCTTTGAGAAGTGGAACATTTTGTATATCTCCATGAATTTAGGATGAATATGGAATATACAGAGGACTTAATATGGACATATTTTACAAATATTTGGTCTACTTCCTCTATATGCTAAAACATCATTTGGGATTAAGCATTCCATGAACATATTTGTAAGACGTTTTCAATTCATTATTTAGGCACATGGAAGTACCACTTGTATTTAAAAAAAAAGTGTCATTTGAGTGAGCAGGTGATAGAACATAGCATAGTTTTAAAAAGACAGGTGACAGACCCTATAGTTATATATACATATGTATCACCATCATCATCATTACCATCATGTTTTTTTTTTTTTTAGTACCTGAATTAGTTGGATGGCATGATTACTAGTGTTGCTAAGCTGTTTTGCAATAGAGTTCATAATGATGGTGAATTCAGGCTTGGTGTTTAGAACATTAATTTTCTGCCTGGTGAAGCAAGCCTCCATTTTACAGCAAGAATGCCCTAAAAATGCAGAAAATGCTAAGCTAGAACAAATGCTGGAATGATTTATGGCAGAATTAATGCATGTCATCAGGTCTTTGGGTTGTGAACGCCATCTCGTTGACTGCCTAAGTGCTAGATTTATGCAGTTTCTCTTCATGGTTTGCTCATCTGTACTGTTCAGGATGAGATACTTCAGACCCACAGAACTGTTTGTGGTGGCTTGCTTTAATTCTTCACCTTACAGTTCAGTTATTACCACATGTGCATATGCACTGTCAGAGACCAAATAATTTGAGAAGTTTATCCATAATAACTGCAAGTCCCTTGCAGAATTAATAGGCATAAATTACCTAGATMCACATACTGAATATGTTGATGTGTCAATTAAGGGCAGTTTTCGGTTGCATTAGAAATCCCCATTTTGCATATGTAGTTTTATGTCTTTCTTTTTGTTTGGTAGAAAATTCTTTCAATTAGACTATACTGTTTTACCTCTGTCTCTCAACTCAGTCTTAGAATGATGCTGAGTTCATTCAGAGCGTGGTGGCTGGTTCACCACTGCATTGAGAGGGTTAGCTGAGAGGTGGGCAATTATAACAACACCTGTGACAGCTATTGTTTCCTCTAATAGGTAATAGAGTTTGACGATGGATCTGGATCAGTTCTCAGAATACAACCCTTACGGACTCCTCGGGATGAGGCCGTTTACGAATGTGTGGCCTCGAATAAAGTGGATGAAATCATTGTCTCCACCAGGCTCACAGTTTTGCGTGGTAAGTCTTATGTGCAAGGTTGTTGATTGTGTCATTGTTGCCATTCTGCATCTCAGGTGTTCTTTTGTAGGRCCATGAGAAAGACTAGCGTTGTTATGATGTTTAAGTAGGAAATGAATTTCAGTAAAATGTTCTAAGGGTCTAACTTTAATGAGACAGTGGACTTGATCTTGGTATGGTTCTGGAAGAAATGCTAATCAGCAAGAGAAAAGGAAAATAAAAAGTAGTATTGATTTCAAAGGCCAGACACCAATTTGATTTTGRCTGGAGGATCTAGGAAGAAACAGGTATGTTACCCTTGTTTGTTAGCATTACTTGCATTACTTGTGCATAGTTTTTTTTTTTTTTCTTTTCATACTTTTTTCAGCTGTTTTATAAATTTCCAAAGCCGATGGTGTTTTRAAAATTAAAGGAACAGTCTCTATCTAAAGATGAGCTTCTCTTAAGCAGCTGGTCAGAACCAAGGATAAGAAGGATGCCTTTCTTCTTTGTCAAAAATAATCTTTTTATTTCAGTCTTTTATCTTTTCTTGAACCCATATCTATTGATGCAAGTGAAATGAGGCAGTGAATCCCCTTCTGTGTCTCTGTGTTGCTTGCATAATTTGACCAAAGCATGGATGACTTGCGGTGTGTCACTTTTTAGGCTTCTTTTACAAAGTCAGTGCTACAGAATAAAGACTAGTGGTTAACCCTCTGATTCATATATCTAATTCAGCCTTTTGTGTAGAGATAAGAACATTGCCTGATTGGACAGYTAACAGATGACATTTTCATGCTAACATATCTGTGACTTTCTGTTTCTCTCTCACTGTTGTTTGTTTGCTTTGAGCTTGACTCCAGAGTTCAGTAGAATAGATTTTTCSTAAGGTGAAGGAAATTTGAAGGAAGGGATCACAATTTAAATAGAGGAACTTATATGTATTATGAGTGCTTCTCCTRCATTCCATTTTCCCCATGGAGGGATATATTTACTTTGTATCTTATAAAATTAAAAAAATGCATTTTCCTTCCAGATCTGTTTTCTATTAAATCTTCTACTCTCCTGAGAAGCTTTACCTTGTTGATATTAAAAGTCTGTTTATTTGGAGGAAAGCAGTTATCAGTAATGTAGAATAAATTTACCTGTTGAATTTAAGATTAAAAAAAAGGAAACTACAGAACATCCAAGAGGAAGACTAGTTAGTACAAGAAGCTGAATGAGGTTGTTTACATTTGCATCCTAAAACATGTTTTAAGTGGTATAAACACCTTACCAATTGAAAGGAAAATATTGAAAAACGAGATGTGTGTACATACATGCACAAAAGCACACACACACAGACTTACATATTTAAATGCGTAGAGCACAGAGCTACTTAGAASCAACTCAAATTTGAGTAACTTTTTTTTGCCATTATGACAAGCTAAGTAGATGCAGGGAATTCTTCATTCTTCATAAATAGAGATGTTGATGAAATATCTGATAATATAATTAAATTCTAGTTAGGTTAGCAAGTAAGAAAGAGATGTTTCCAAGTGCTAAACACAAAGAGGGAACCCTCAGAAAAAAAAGACAGTTGTAGTCTTACAACCCAAGATGATGACTACATGGTCTTTTAGACTTTTGAAGTATTAGTAGGTATATATACTGTGTAGCAGGTACAAAATAAGATGGGAGTAAGAGGAGCTAGATTGCCTTTTTGCCTTGTGATGAGATCTAGTAGTATTCCCATACTKCAGAACTAAGAACCCAGATGCTTAACTTTAAAGCTTGGCAGAAACAGAATTTCATAGAATCTATAAGAAGGAACCAGAAAAGCACTCACCCAACAGACATCCTCACAACCCAGACAAATGACCCTGAAGAAGRTTGTTTATACTCAGAAGGACTCGTAGTCATCAAGTCTAAAGCATGCATCAAGCCACTTCTAACCCATTGTTACAGTAAGCCCAAGCAGTAAAGTTCAAAGCCATGGTCTATGTACTAATCACTAAACAGTATAAATGGGGTTTTATAGTAAATATGTTTAAGATATTTGCAAAGATATACGAAGTAATGTATTATGCATCTATAAGACATCAGGCAAAAACAAAATAGATAGGAATTTGAATCCAGTTTCTATTAATTGGATGGAATCTTTGACATTTTGCTTACACATGTGATACTATATGCTTTGGAAAATATGCATATATSTGAATGTACATACACATGATCACATAAACTTTAAAAGATCTGAAAATTGCTATCATTTTTCGGGTATTCCTATCTAAAATAAAATCAGACATCAGACTAATTTTGATTTCCTTTCAAACATTTAATCCCCATTGATTCACCTAGTTTGGAACTATTATAAAGGTATAGTAAAATTTATCAGGGACTTTTTGGTTCTTTGACCATCTAAAGCCCTTGAATTCCTTCAAAGTAGATAATAGCAATTATGTGTTTGACTTAAWATTTATGTATTTGATGAAGACATTAACAAAAAGTTGGTGGGAAATGTCACTTTTCTATCTTGTGGATTTAGGGATTTCTACCTTGTAGATTTGGGAATCCACAAGGATTTATGTTTTCCTACCTCACGGCTGCCCGGAGTTCCCCCATCTCATCTGCTTTTATATAGCTAGTTCCCATAGAAAACAAGTGCATTTGAATACTTTAATATGATCTTGAATTTTTATGTGCATATTTGTCATATGTAAGTGCTTTTGAATGAATTTATTATTCAAGTAAAGTCATTAACCCCACTKGGAAAAAGACTGTATTTAGTGTTTTCAGAAATATTTGCTGAGAAAAATACAAAGGTAACTTGCATAATGGGAAAGTAGTCTATTCATAATCTTAAAATAGAATACTTTCATAGATTATTGTAAGATAAAATAAATAGAGTCACCTCTATTTAAACTTTTTAAATGTTGATAATTCTATTTATAATAGTCTGAAAGATATTTCAGAGGTGGTAAACTGACTCTTATAGACTTTGAATTTTGTGAACAGTTTAATAAATGATTGAAGAGGTTCATATCATAGTTGATGAACTTTGTGTTCACTTTGAGTTTACTTTCTCTTGCAAATCTTGTTGGCASACCGTCAAGAACTCTGTTCTGCGGTAGACACAGACCACTTTGCACTTTTTGTCCAGTGGCCCTCCTCAGATGCCTATTTTGTCTGCATGGGTCATTTATTTTTCCCCCACTTTGCTGACAAATGCCAAAAATGTGCCAACTGTCATGATGGGTTTTGTCTAAGTGGGCTGGATGGAGATCAGTCATTTATTTCACACAGGCTACTGGACAACCTAATTAATTGGAGATTCAAACATCTGACCTGTGTGGCTAATGCAGAAGATGTGAAAATAATACTCTGACCACCCATGTGCATTGAAGGGAGCATTTCAGGGAAAACGTTCCCTTAGTAGCTTGTTTCAAATTACCCTGGCTTCAGAAACTGTTTTTATAAGGAAGGATAACTACACGCTCAAGGCTGAACGTGAYCTGGAATGAGATATCTGGGCAATTAACCATTTACACTGTTGAGTGTGGTTCATGGAGGAAGAAGTGGGAGAAGGGGGAGTAGAATGTGATACTTATGTCCCCTTGGTCATTATTTTTTTAGTTGTTGAAACAGAAGCAAATGTTGGCTCTCRAGTTGTATGGTACTTTAGGAGGTGAACATATTTGTTATGCACATGTACTCCCTCCAAACTGAGCAGCACAGGTCTCACTACAAGGTTATTTAGAGCTAAGCCTTACCTAATTGTGGAGCACTGCTCAGGACAGTGGATTAGACAGATGTCCAGGGAGGGGCAAGCAAAGGACCAGAGTGGGTGTTTTGGTAGGAGGGATTATCAGCCAAATGAAATTGGTTCTATCTAGAGCTTTAGTTTATTGGCCACAGTGTCTTCTCAACCAAAGATATCAGCAGGAAAATGTGTGATACAAATTTTTGTAATGATAACTGGGGATGAAAATGTTCTCTCTGATATGTTATCAGGCACTCAGCAGGGGAAATGAGATATCACCATCTATAGAATTTTCTTCCTTCTAAAAAACCCAGAAGTACCTGCCTGTCTGGGGGCTAGAGGAACGGCATCAAGAATCCTTTTTTCCTTGTTGACATAATTCCCTTCCTCTAAGAGAAAGTTCTTGAAAAATTGAGTCAACTTTGYCTTCAAACATCAAACTAAATGTCATGTTTCTTGAACTTAGTTTGGTTTGTTGTTGTTGTTTTTTTTTTTTTTTTTTTAGGGTAGGAATCTAGAGAACATATTATCATTTAGACTAGCATGTAATAGGTCCCATTTTCCAGCTTCATGGATTATTTTCAAAGACTTGTCCATTCTCAAATAGCACTGACTCCAAATCACTACCACCATTGCCAAAATGAAACAGGGTATAAGGTGTGACATTGTACCTTATAGGAAACTAGCTTGTTCATTGAACACATACAAAGTATAGTTATTGCCTAAAAAAGTTAACTGACCCAATGTGAGGCATTTTATTTACCTAGTTTATCAAATCTATTTGAATAAATGATGTGTGTGTGTGTGTGTGTGTGTGTGTGTTTGTTTACTCTGCATGTAAATGTGGGATTCATGAATGATACCATAAGTATGTAAGACAATACTTAAGTCAGGGTCTCAGGTAATTTGAGTGCCAACTCAGGCTCTGGTGAAGAGAGTTGGGTATTTTTTTTTTTTTTTGGTACTAATCTGTTAACTTCCATGTTTTATTGTTTTCTCTTTTATAACCTCATTTGCACAGAGAGGCTTAGATTGGTGATCAGAGGCTTAGACTGGTGATCAGATTCATCAGATCACTTCTAACCTTGTATGATTCAGTGATATGCATATTTTAGGAAGTCAGTTCTTGCAAAATGAAAAAAAAAATGCTCCCTGAAGGTGACTGTTACTGAGATAGTAAAACACACAGAGCAGTTGGATGAAACTGAGAAGGCATTGCATTGGGAAATAGAAATGTTTGCATAATAYGTCTGTTTCAAAAAAAATGTGAGCTATTAAA